CTTGTTAACAATTCATAATCCTCTTCATTCTTGTAATTATATATTTTTTAATGCCGCTCGTTTATATGCACTATTGTTGACTAGCAAAAGGTACTGCTTTTATTCCACAACATAAGTATTCATCACCGCGTCAACAATTAGTAAACATCCAAAATGCAACATACAGACAATTTACGAAAAGCTTGCTATTACTCAAAATATGATAGACCATGCTTGTCTGACAGTCCCACTCCTGCTGGACATCCTATTTTTTCACCGTTGTCGAGATTTTAGGATGTTCTTTCGTCCCAAAAGTTACATCAAGTGCGGAGATACTCGATGAAATCATCTTTCGGATACGGAATCGAACTCGCGTCTTCAGCTTGCAATGCAAAATGCTTTGCTAATCAATATCAATTATGCAGAAGTGATCGGACCTGAATCGGATTTTAAGTTTAAACTGTCGGCATTATCGGATATGTTACTAGTCATCTACCTCAGCTAACAGAAGTGAGGCTTCTTGTTCGGTTTCAGTGATGCCATTGTCTACAGTCAAAGCCGGTTACTTTTGTGTGGAAGTTCAAGATTAATTATATTTTAGGAAGAAAAAAATACACCTAACAACTTACACAAATTTTATCCTGAAAATCCCGCCTGTTCAGAAATGCACTTCAGTGTTAAGAAGAGTTTCCCCTATCGCTTTACTATTCTGAATAAAGTAAGACTGTGACTGCCCTGTTTCAGGCTTTGGGATAACTTTGTTCCCCTTTCCTTGTGCTATTCTCTAGAACTAGAAATTTAATGGTATTATCTCATCTTTCCAAACTGTATTCTTATTTCATTTTACATAGTTCTATTCCAAACTGGGGGATCGGTATAGTGCAGTGGTAGATACTGGAAAAAGACGAACACTACATTGATATGTCTGGGGTTGTAAAAAAGTAACATCAATGCGAACGCGTTGCGTTTTTTGCGTTTTCTCTAAAACGCGATATTTTTAGGGGTATCGAGTTTTAGTGCAGCGGGATTTCGGATGCTATTTATAGGATTCACTTGAAATTTGACCTCAGTGTGGGCAACTGGCGTAGTTGCAACCTGTTAGAGGCTTTTTTAAAATTTATGGAATATTTTTCATATTACTACGTTCTATATGCCTTAGAGGGATGATTTTAAGGAAAATTTCGGTGTTTTATCAAGTCATGTGTTAAAATACAGGATATCTCGCTTATTATAAACGATATAAAAAAGTCTCTAACAGGTTGCAACTACCTATATTGAGTTTATTCTGTGAAAATATTAACTCTGTAGCTTTATAGATAAGAAAATTACGCCTGCACTAAAATAACGCTTTATAGGGGGTCGTGACACCCTAAAGTGTAAAGGGTTGCCCGGAGTGCGGAACTAAAGTACATCTGACTACCTGAATAACGTAAAAGACCCCCAAAGTCATATAAAATGCCCTTAAGTGATTGCTAAGTCTGTGCATAACGGATTTTGAAAAAAGCATGCTGGTCTTCCTTTTAAGGAAATAACTAAACGTTGGCAGCCATTTTCTACTAATTTTACCTCTGAAACCAAGCGACCCCTACCTCCTTCAATTGCAATTATCTCGACTTGTATTCAAGATAACTGGATATTTTTTCATCGTAGGCAAGACACATGAACAACCTTTAAGATGATACCAATTACTTCACATGACCAAAAATAGACGAGTGTCTGATTCTACCGCATCGTGACACATAAAGCTGAACATTATTTGTACGAGCGCCTGATTTCAGCACGGTGTTACACAATTGGGAATAGAACTTCAAGAATTCCAAAGTTTTCTTTCTGTGATCAGTGGTTCATTTGGTTAACACTTACTGAAATGACCAGACTATAACAGCAGTAGGTCCACCCCCTCAGGGCAGTGCTACTGACTGAATAGTGGTTAGGCTCTCGGACTCGCAACCGTAAGGTCGTGGGTTCGAATCCCGTAAGGGGCCCGACGTTGTGTCCTTGGCGGCTGTCTAAATCGCCCCAAAACCGCCAGTTTAGTTACCCGGCAAGGGTTTCCCGCCGACCACCCCGAGACGGTAATAAATCAGCTGTCAGCCGTGCAAGGTACCGTGACGGGAGCGGCACTCCCGGCAGTGCCTCAGCCGTGCCCAGGAAACTTGATTCCAGTCATTTTCGATTAATTTGATCCCCAATATCTCCCGATCTAAAAATTCGATGTCTCCACGTGGGGTCTCATTTTAAAGGGCTACTTCAACCCGACAAGACGATACAATTTTCTCTTGTGTGCGTTCACTAGTGTTAATCCTGCTTGCTGAGAAATGCACTCTATCCTTTATTACT